GACGTAAATAACTCTTCTTTTTACAGCGACTGTTACTGACAGAAAATGTGAATTCTGTTTTATTTTACTTATTTCAAAATTCCTTTAACATTTTTCTGCAAAAACACAAATTATCTAAATCACTCCCTAAAAGACCTTTTAAATTCTAAGATTAATAATAAAATTATGGTTACATGTTTAATTAATGTTTATTATAGCTAGCATATTAGTTTTAGAAAGTCAAATTTATGATACAATGAAGCAATATTTTTTACATTCTGTGGGTCTAATATATAGCACATTGGTATCTAAAGTATAATAAATATATTTTATTATTTTGTAGAACTCTGTAATACAACCTTTGTAGGGCTGAGATAGTATTGAATTTCAAGATGAATGAGTCAGTATGAACCTTAGGCAAGTTACTTCATCTTTCAGGACTCAGCTTTCAGACGTGCAAAATGAAGTGTAGGGATAAATCCCCAACTCTTCTGGCACATTAAAAAATCATAATTAAAAAATAAGCATAATATAACATTTTAAATTACTGCAAATTTATAGATACAGTTCTTCCTTTAAGATGTATCTTTGGTCCCAACTACAATGTGAGCTTCAGCTCTTCATTAGGAACACAAATTCTGATGAAAACATTATCTCTGTAGGAAATAGAATCATTTTACCACAATTCTGTTCCAACTTCTTCACTTCCTACCTATATTTGTCTTTTAGAAGTTTATTCCCTAAAAATTCAGAAATATTTGTTCACCCTTGTCTCACTTCACTTTCTTTTATTATAACAAAGTATTTGAGGTTGGTAACTTATAGGTAAATAGTTTTATTTGTATCAAAATTCTAAAGCCTGAAGGGTCCAAACTGCATGGTGCCAGCATCTTGGCAAGGGCCTCCTGGCTGTGTGCCAACAGGGGATAGAAAGAGAAAGAGAACTGGCTGCCTGAAGAAAGGACCAAGAATGTGGGGTGGCTTCACTTTATAATAACATGGTCTTATGAGAGCTAGTTTCACTCTGTGAGACCAGCACTGATCCTTTCCAGGTAGTGACCCATGATCTAATTACCTTCTGCTAGGCCTCACCTCTGTAAGGTTCCACCGCTTCTCAGCATTACCACATGGGGTGAGGCTTCCAGGACATGAACATTTAGGAGGGAGGCACTCAAACTATATCCAAACCATAGCAATCCTCTGTGAATAAGCCTCTCTAAGCAGAGTCCACATTCTGTTGTGACATAGAGTCAGGCCTCTGATTTCAATAGGCAAACCCTCTGCAGCTACTTTTGCAAATTCTCTGATTGAATATACTATCAGAGAATGCATATAAAACATCTTTTAGAATGCTTGATATACAGGGAATATTATATAGGGTATGCCTGACACATGGACAGCATGAACTGTGGGGAATAATTAAAACACATTTTTGTCTCCCATTCAGATGGTTCTTCTGTCACCAGATGAAAAGTCAGACAAATATATAGGTCATTCTTGAGTTACACAGGGGCCTATGGTAAATATAAGACATAAAATATAGTCTTGATTCAAAATCAAAGTGTCCAATTCCAATAGTTTAGTCTATTCCTTTCTCTCTATTCAGAAGGTGAGTTCTCTTGATTCCCTAGATGCTTAGTCCATTAGGGCCCATAGGTGAGGAAGGAAAAGGGAAAGAGAGATAAAGGAATAACAAAGTTCTCATTTAACAGTGACTGATACTATTCTAAGCAAACCTTGCAGGTAGTTAATGCTGACTCTTACCCCTTAGCAATTTTGTAGCCTTTATTGCTAGTTGTATCCATCCTAGAATAATGTCCCTGATGTACATTTTCTTTAGTGAAAGAATGTGAGAGGATGCATCTCCCCCTCTCCCTCCACCCTTTGCCCTCCCTGTTTCCCATGAACTGAGCAGTTTTCCTCCATAGCACCTATCAGCCAGGATGCTCTTGGCAATGGAGTCAGACAACCATGGACTGAATCTTTGAAACCATGATTCAAAATGAACTTTTTCTCCTCTTGGTTGTTCTTGTCAGATATTTCAGTCCTTTTTTTCCACCTATAAGTTTCCCATTTATTGTTGTTCCACCTAACTGGGGGATCCATTCACCTCTGGAAGTAGCACAGTTGGGCAGAAAAATCTTAGGGAGGATATCTTTGACAATGACACCTTTCCACTAGCCAACAATTTCTTAAATATGGTACATAAAAAAGATGAATAGTATTCCAACAGGACTTTCCATCTTCCATTTAGGTTTAAGAAGTTGAAAAGAACGTTGCTCCCACTTTAACAGCAAAAATTTTAAGAGCTGAACTGCCTACATTAGGACTTATCTTAAGCCTGTCAGAGAGCAATAAACTAGCCTGACATTTAAGGGAAGACAGGCTTCAAGTAAAATTAATAAGTTTTGTAAATCCAAACACAACATTAAGATAAGCCATTGACTGGGAGAAAAAGAAAAAAGGAAACAAAACTTGTATATGGAATATGTAAAGAATACACAAATGAATAAGAAAAAAAGCAGATAACCCAAGGGGAAAATGGGCAAGACTTGAGCAGACAGACATTCCACAGAAGAAGATAACCAATTGGATAACACATGAAAAGATGTTTAATATTTCATTGTATATATATTTCACAGTTTATTTATATACTTTTCTGTTAACAGAAATTTTCATTATTTCCAGATACTTGTTGTTATGATAATAGTGCTATGAAAATTCTTGAACATGTCTTTTAGTGAACGTATGTTCTAAATGGAAATGAAAACCATAATGAGGTACCAGTACTCAGTCACTAAATAAACTAAAATTAAGGACTGCTAATACCAATACTGGTGAAGATGTGAATGAAATGAATCTGGTTGTAAATTTTTACAATAATTTTGGAAAACCTTGGCAATATTTTTCAAAGCTAAATGCACTGAAACTTTAAATTCAACAATTTTGCTCCTAAATATCTACCCAATAGAAATAAGCACATATGTTTACCAAAAGACATGTTCAAGAATTTTCATACCACTATTATCAAAACAACAAGTATATGAAAATTTCTATTAACAGAAAAGCATATAAACAAACTATGAAATATATATATACAATGAAATACTAAACAAGAAAGAAAAAATGATGGTAACATGAAACAAGAATGAAACACATCATGAGCACAAGAAGTATAAAGGCATATATACTCTAGGATTTGATTTATATGAAGTTCTGAACCAGACATAAATCTGTTGATGAGATCAAAAGAAAGGTTATGGGGGGGGTAGTATTTGCTAAGAAGAACCATGAGGGAGATTTCTGGCTTCAGGAAACATTCTATATATTAATCTTGGGTGTCTCCTTGGGGAGGTATGTGAATAAACTTTATCAAATAGCATAGTTAGGTACTATGCACTTTTCCACATATATGATTAACTTAATGCATTATAATATAAAGAAAACATTACCTATAGCATAGCTCCAGAGCTAATGATAATATGGGCAGAATGAATATAAACAGACAGGAGTATGAGGACTTGTCAGGGCCCCTTGATCCTGTGTGTTTCCCATAAGTCTACCACAGAGAAGAAAACCACTTTAGCTCTGGAGCCTGTAGTGGATTAGCCTTGATGCAGCTTCTCTTCTTTAGGTCCCAAATTTATACAGTGTAAAAAGAAATATCTTTTTGTTATAAAAACTGCAGAACAAGTATTTTTCTCAAATGTTTAAAAATAAAGATGCTTGTTTTTATATACTTTTGTTATAGTGTCATCTTTCAGGATGCTTTCTATCAAGAGAATAAAGCTTCCTGTGCTATCCTCAAACTACTGCATCATCTACTAACCAATAAAGATCTGAGAACTTTTACTAGACATATGCTATGCCTTGAAACAATTTTAATTTTTAATGGCCTCTGTTAACTTTTCAAGGATGGTTGTGTTAGTCAGCTTTTTGTCACTGTGACTAAAAATATCTGACAAGAACAACCAAGAGGAGAAAAAGTTCATTCTGAATCATGGTTTCAAAGATTCAGTCCATGGTTGTCTGACTCCATTGCCATGGGCCCAAAATGAGGCAGAGCATCCTGGCTGATAGGTTCTATGGAGGAAAACTGCTCAGTTCATGGGAAACAGGGAGGGCAAGGGGTAGAGGGAGAGAGGGAGATGCATCCTTTCACAGCATGCCCCTAGGGACCCATCTCTGCCAGCTACACCCCACCTGCCTAAGGTTTCTACCCTGTTAATCCATTCAAACTAAAATAGACTGATTGGGTTACAGCTCTCATAATCTAATCCTTTCATTTCTGAATATTCCTGCATTAACACAGGCACTTTGGGGGGACATCTTAAATCCAGACCATAATAAGGGCCATATCCACATCAGGCTTCCAGGACTCCAGCACTTGTGATGTCAGGATTGTAGCTGCTCCCAACACAGTAACCTCTCATTCTTTCAGTTTTGCCACTGTGGTAGGTATTTCCCTGTGAGCATCAAACAGCAGCCCTTAATCCTTCCAACTATCAGGTTCACCCTTTAACTTGGAGCCATTCCAGAGGTCCTCTCACTGGGTCTAAGCAGGAAAAAAGTCACCTCATCCCCCACATTTTGTTGAGGGTTACATACAATCCACCAATCTTCCCCTAACATATTCCTCAGGAAACCTCTTTCCTCTTCCTATTTTGCATATCTCTGATATGAATGAGAAGTCTGAGAGTCTTTGAGCACTAGACAGTTTGTAACTGCACCGCATTTTCATCCCACACCTTACTCTGTTGCCCAGCATCTATAGTTAATGTTAGGTGTCTCCATCGAAATATCCTATTATAGTAATTTCAGATTGAACTTTATGAAATTGTTGATTATTGACTATTTTTGACCTAAAAGAATTGAAAATTAATATGGTCCAAACTAACAGTTTTATTCAGGATAGGCTTTTCAGAGAAACTGAACTTTAGGTTGGATTTGAACAAAAGGAAAAGTGGGTTCTCCAATGAATACCCAGAAAAATACTAAAACAGCTTCTGTGAGCACCTTACCTTAGCTTTCAGATCAGCACACAGGTCTTGTTGCTTTTTTCTGTCCTTAGCCAATATGCTCTCCATTTCATGAGCTGCACAGGCCTCAAGGAGGGTAAGTACTGCCTTCTGTATAAAGTCTTTCCTATTCTTATTCCAATTTTCTATCAAGATCCTTCGCTGCTCCCTAGCAAAGTGATATTGGTCACAGTGTTTCTCATGTTCTACCTGAAAAGATAATAGATGGTGAACTCTTATCATTGTTAAAATGAGCCTATGATGTATGTCATTGTTATAAAAGTGAATAGAATTAATTATAACCAATGATTTTTAAAAACTGGGACAAACATCTAAAGAGTAAACACAGTAACTAAGACTGGCAATTGAGAAAAAGGCATTCGATGTTTACAAGTCCTTTTATAAATCCTTACTTTCCTCATATAGAATGGGTTCAGACCAAGTGGTCTCTAAAGCAACTTTCACTTCTAAGTGGTATGATTCAGTGAGCAAAAAGCAAGACTCCCTCCATATATAATTTTAAATGCACCATTTTTTAAGTCAGTTGTTGGCATCGTTTAAAAATTATATCAAGTCTTTATGACAATGAAAAACATAAGCATAAAAATTGCTACAATAATCCTGAAGATTCAGTTTGCTTTTAATTATCAAAACATTCAGATGTTAGAATGACTAAACTTAATTATAGCAATGACATTTAGCCTTCTCATCCTACATTCTTGAGGGATATGACATTGTCACATTGTAACTAGGGACACTTTTGGCAGTGATTCTCAATCATGGAAAGTATCAGAGTATGGGGTTGGCAGCGGGGTGAAAGGGGGTACACAAAGAGCAGAAAAGAAGAGCCTGAGAGTTTAAAAAACTCCTGCAAGTGATTCTGAAGATCTCATACAAAGGTGTGTTTTCTGAACTAAAGCATCACTGATCTAAATAATTCTTTATTTTTTCAGTACAGACCACACCTTTGACATACTATTTAATTCCTAAGTGGTATGAGAAAAGAAGCCAGCAAGCAGGATAGAGTATGTCCCACCTAAAATAATACTTTAGGTATGGTTAAATAGACACATGATCAAACAGACTATGATCTCACTTAAACCAAGTATCAGCTACCAAAATGTGTTCTGAAAATGTCTTAGCTTTGTTAATAAGGTCAAAAATACATTTAACATCTGTCAAACATTAAGAAGGGAATGGTACACCATGCAGAAACATGGTCTAATCGATCCAATGTAGAATAAAAATGCAAAAATAATCATGTAAATTGTAGAAAAAATATAAAAATCTACAGGTAACAATGGCAGCTGGTCACAGAAGCAAATAAAATTGATTAGGAATAAAAGAAGATATAATTTAGTAAATTAAGAATGTAAAAAAATCCAGAGTTAATTATTTATTATGTAAGAGGTATCTGTTTTAGACCAGAATTTAAACAATTAATTGTTGAAATGTGGTGACAGGGAAAGAATAGGAAGAATGTGGGAAATAGTCACTCTAACTATGTGGACTTTACTTCAGTTTCTTAATGAGAAAATAAGAATAACAATAGTATTACTTTCACCCACTGCTATGTGTGTTAAAAGGAGTTTCCCTAAAACTGATGTACAGTAATTTCTATTCACATGTGAGTATTGCTGTTACTTGCTTAATTTAAAACAATAATAAAAGTACAGAGTATGTGATAATATTTTATAGCATTAAAAATCAAGAGCCTATACATGCTTGTTTACATATAATTTATAAGACAAGTCATTGTAAAATTAATTGATGATATGGTAACTTCTATTTTCTTGTCTTTGTGGGTTTTCCCATGAAAGAATGAAACAATAATTTTCCAATTCCTTCTCATGGAAATTTAAGTCATGTCTTTGAGTTCTGAATTCGGGGTCTGTGTGTTTTCTACCCACATAGAGGAACAGGCAGAGTTGCTGTGATGGGGAAGATACAGGTAAGTCACATCTCTCAGGGTGAGTGTTGGCATCCTTATGACTAGAGGGGCTAAGGTGTGGCAGACTTTGTGGATGCAAGGGCAAGCATTTAACCTTCAGGAAAGATCCAGACGTGGTGGAACCTCTGAGCGTAGGCAGGTACCTGTCTGTAAACCTGAGGATCAAACACTAGCGGAGCAGCCTGGGAGCCATGGTGAAAATTTCTGGGGCAAGTTGCCAGACAGGCCCTCACCTGCTTATGGACCATATAGTTTTGGGGGGAAAAATGACCTGCATAGACTTTTAACCTGTAGTTCAACTATTTTCTATAGAGTAGGAAAAACAATAAATTTTAGATTATTTTTACACACACACACACACACACATACACACACGTGCACACACACATATCTCCATAATCATTGACCCCTAAAACAATTTCAACTTGCACTCACCAAGTCATGCCTAGATTTGTGAGGAAAATATCTTTGTAACATATCGAGATACAGAGTCCTTCTGCCAAAGAGATCTCCAGGATACTGATCTAAAATAGCCTGGTAAATCCAGTGGTCTTCTTCACTTAGTTGGAAGTTTCTGAAAGAAACAAAAATGTGATAATATATAGTTTAGAAATTATGAACTTTAAAGGGATTTCAAATTGCTCAAACTATTAGCAACTAATAATAATTACATAAATGAGGCATTGATTCATTGATTAATTTGTGGTATTGAGTGTTAAACCTAAGGGCACTTTATCACTGAGCTACATTTCCAGCTCTTTTTAAATTGTTTTTGAGACAGGGTCTCACTAAGTTTTCCAGGTTGGCCTAGAACTTGGAATTCTCCTGCTTCAGCCTCCCAAGTTGCAGAGTTTATATGTGCACCCAGCCCAAATGAGGTATTTTTAAAATGTTAGCCAAATTTAATGACTGTGAAAGAAAAGTTTCTAATTTCTAATACATTGGATCCTTCAATGCTTTATTTGGTCTTTCCAAGAGTTCTAGGCATAGTTTGAACAAGTTAAAGAGAAATAATATTTTAAAAAATATTTATTCTATCATGCTTACAGTAATATTTAAAAATGATCAATCAATGAAATAAATATTGGTAAATACATTATTACACATACATATTAAAAAGGATTTTTCTTATTCAACAAAAGTCCTATGTCTAGACAAGATAAATACAAATGTAGACAGATTAATAATTACATAAAGGAAAATAAAGCCAGACTGAGAAAGATACTTATTTAAGATTTGAATTCAAAGGGAAGTCTATATCTTTTACTTTACCCTCTTATCTGCTAGCTTTCTTGGGAAATATTGGTAATGAAAAGATAACAAATGGTGTTGAATTTCAGATCATAAGGAAATCATTTACAAACAGGATCCCTGCACATTGCCTTCTCAATCATGTGTCCACTGTGCTCCAAAATACTTTATTCCTTTCAGAACACTCCTAGGCACTGGCTTAGTTCAATTTCTGTATAAAGTCATAGCAAAGTCCTACTCAAGGTGAAAAGGTTGCATTATCATTCTAAAGTCTAAATTAATGCCTCTTTATATTTTGAGTTTATTTGCATATTATTATCCCTGTTTAATAAATTAGAATAATCAAATTCAGATGCAATCAGAGGGAATATTAATAGCAACAAATATTTTCTTTGATCCACTATGGAAATTTGCCATTGTTTATTTCAATGGTCTTACACTTAAAAGTTAAGTTTGCAATCCAAAAGTTTTTTAATGTCTTTTTTCCCATGAAAAATATTTAACAATTTAAAACAGACTAAAACAACCCTTAAATCAGTGATACTAAGGGGAAACCCACTGTTCTCATATAAGGCTAAGCATTTCTATAAGGCATGCCATCATTCTAGTAAGTAGGAAAAATTGCTTTTCAAAGAAAAAAAATCTTCTCCACCTACTCTATAATGGGATAAAAAAGAGGGTTGGAGATGTTCTTTCAGTAAAAAGAATACTCTACAGTTCCTCAGTATGACATAATAATCTATTGCAAAGAAAGAATTTGAGAGGAATTCATTCATTGAACACAGCAAGTGTTTTGGTTCTGTCAGAATCAGTTCTGCATGTACAGACAGTCAAAGGCTTCTGCAAATAAAGCATTTGAAGCAGGAAAATTAAGCCAGGAGAAAGGTTGCCTGAGTGCACTTAGCATTCCAAACACCCTCAGATTTTCATGGACAATATCTCACGTCCTTTCTCAAGGAGCCCATTTGCACCCACTGTGACATGAATGCATTTTAACAGGAAAGTTAGCCAGATAAATTCTCCAATACTACACCATAAGCAACAGAATAAGAACAGAACTGAAGTCCACATCTTAGTTAATATTTTTAAACTGTCACTGTAATTAAAGGGCCTTGAACATGTTTTGAATTTCTACCTTTGTTTGATTACACATGTTGATGTGTGGGGGTGGTGTGTCCTCTGGAGGAAAATCGACTGAACCTAGGTCCAACAAGTTTCCTGTTCTTTTAAATTGTCATTCATCTATATAATGGAGGCGGTTGGTGCCATGCCCAGATTGCCTTAATTAGCTGGAATTCCCATCACCAACATGCTGTGAGTCTTGGCTGACAACTTATGGGTGAACTACCCTGGGTCCCCTGGGAGCTGCCTCACCCAAGAGGCTACCCTCCTACCTTCTTTTCCAGGCCAAGCACAATCAATGCCTGACACACCAGCCCATTTGCCTCCAGATGTGACCAACTCTGTGACACATTCTCCCTCCAGAGTCTCACTGCAGAAGCCAACAGAAGATCCAGTCTCCACTGAGACTTCCTCCTTGATTCCACATTTCCCCTTTCCTATTCTGCCTCCTTCACAAGCTTCTTCTGAGAGCACCCACCTTCCCCCACAAAAAAGACATTGTCCTAGAAATCTTTGTCTCAGTTTTGTTTCTATAGAATTCAGTCTAAGATAATCTACAATCTTACCCATAATTTTCCAAAAGAGTTAAAATCCTTTGGTAAATGAAGAAGTACTTTCAAACTAATTGCTTTGATGATCTCTCCTACTGAATGGTGGTACAAGATTGTGGCTGTCCTCAAAGAAAAAAATGCAATAGCAAACATTTACAAAGTGCTTTTCATATAAAAGCACACATTAAGCAGTGTACATTGCTATAAATAAATATAGCAGCAGGAGAATATGTGCAAATTTGAGTGCAGGAGACTCAGTGCATTTTTGTACGTTGTGTGAATGTATTAATTAGGTGCCATTTTTGTGCAACATTAAAAACCACTTAAACATACGAAATGACTATTAAACATTAAAACCAGATAATTCAAACCAAAATATGCCATGAACAGGGATGACATCCATTTTGACCTCCTTGTTGATTTGAGAAGCCTCATATCCCAACAGCTTTTTCTAGTTACCACAATTACGCAAATTGTAAGACATTTTTCAGTACATGTAGAATAAAAATGAAAAACATGCTGAAAGAAAATGACATATAAATACTCAACAATATTATTATTTTTAGAGTCGTTCCCAGAGCTGCAGGCTTAAATCTTGAGGCAAATATTTACATGGGCAATAATAATGGCAGAGCCGTGCATTTCCATTAGAATGCTGCTTATAAAGGAGGGAAAAACTCCCATCATTACATATATCCACTCCACATACTGAGACTTTGCACAGTAAAAATCCAAGAGAAATACTCATACACACAGCCTCTTCACAAAACGAAGCAGCCATTTTCTAGAAACATGGACTTTTAGTCTCTAACATAAAATCATATTCAATTTCTAAATTTAAATCTGGACACTTATTTTTCTGATCAATTCTTCTTTTCTTTTGGACAGAGAAGTCTGTATAAAATAACTTAGACCTAGGTTAGCTTTTATAGACCCAGGTTAGCTTTTATTTCCCAAAGTTCTTGTTGAATTTAACTCTTTTGTTAGTAATTATGATAATAAACTAGCTAAATTCCACAGATAGTAAAAAATAGAATCTAACCCCTCATCTATATTCTAAATTTGAAAAATGAACATAATTTTTTAAAGAAAAGAATTATCCTAAATTTTACAATTAAAACTATTTAGCAGTTATCTGTAATTTCTATTTCTTTTGGTCCATCCAAATTTTCTAAGTGCTTTTTAATTTTTATCTTTATCATAAAACACCAAGATTCTACTCTTTTCAGGCTTGTTGAGCACTTCAAATACTACAAGAAATTTTAGTCTGCAGAAGGGTAAGGCATTTACTACCCAGTCCCCACTAAGCCTCCCATCCCCAAATACTGAAGTCCACAGATACCATTGCACTATGATTTTCCAGGAAGTGAGACAAAACAGGTAATTCAGAAAAAAAAGGACAACCAGACTGATCATCTCTATAATTCTGCCTATTTGAGCCACTGCAAAAGGCCTAAATTGACTCCCAACTTAGCTACTAATTTTTACCATAGTCACATTTAAACCACTTTCCTTGGGTACTGGTCTCACAGCATCAAAAAACATTTGGAGGCAGACATGGAGCAAGAATAACAAAAAAAAATATTTACAGGTACTTTAATGACAGAAACAAATCTATAAACTAAGCCTTGTGTTTATAAACTACCTGAGAGCTGTTTATATTTTCTTCATGGGAAGGGAGCTTTCCAAGCAAAATGACAATTAGTGCCTTTGAAAGCTAGATGATGCAGTCATCAGCATCTTTGGACTGCCTGACTGGGAAATGGACACAATAAATCTGGCCTAAAGGAAAACTTATCTCTTAAAGTGTAACAATGTCAGGGGACACCAAGTGCTCCTCCACTAAATAACAAGATTGCAGAGAGTCACCAGTGGATTAATGTGGATGAAAGGTAATCCTGTCCCAATCCCTTTGTCTGGCTGCATCAGGTCTGATCCTGTGGAAAACACAACTCTACTTCACTTTTTAATATTGCCTTTCCAAAATAGACCCATCAAAACACTCAGTCTATTTAGTCTAATTAGTGAAATTGTCTCCTCACCCACCAACCACCCTATCCCATTCCCACTGCCTAAATGCACATCTTTGATTTTCAATCTGGTTTATAGGGGAGATTCTGGTCCCATACCCATTTCTAACCAACAAAATATGCTCCTGAAATTTCTTGGGTGTGTACATTCTCTTCCTAGGAGATCCATTCCCGTTTAGAAGTTCTCACCTCCAGGGTTCCTGGGTTCTACCTAATCTAGTGGTTCAGCTAGGAGCTGACAACCACATTAAAGTGGACTGTAGGGGGCATGGTCGAAATTCATTGAATTGAAAAATAAAAAATAATAGTGACCCATAAGGCAAAGCCAGAGCTTGTACCAGCGTCCAAATCCTCATTCTTCTGAGAGGTGACAGGAAGGAGAAAATATGGCATGGTTCTAAAAGTGATAGCTCCAAAATCTCTTATAGGAAGGTTTAGGAATGGGAATTTGACCAAAACAAGATTGCTAAGTGATTAATTTGGTGCAGACATCCATTTACATTTACATCCATTTACATCTATTCCCATTCCTCTAGCTAGTGTTTTTGTAAGTGCATGGACAAAAAAATCCAATATGGACAATAAAATGTAAAGTCAGTCTTCCAAGGAAAAGGATTCTA